TACACCCCTTTACATCGCCATATACCCATATACAACACCATATACCCATATACAACACCATATACCCATATACAACACCATATACCCCTATACAACACCATATACCCCTATACAACACTATACACCCCTATACAAGACCATATACCCCTATACAACACCATATACCCATATAAAACACTATACACCCCTATACAACACCATATACCCCTATACAACACCATATACCCATATACAACACCATATACCCCTATACAACACCATATACCCATATACAACACCATATACCCCCATACATCACCATACACCCCTTTACATCGCCATATACCCCTATACAACACCATATACCCATATACAACACCATATACCCCTATACAACACCATATACCCATATACAACACCATACACCCCTATACAACACCATATACCCCTATACAACACCATACACCCCTATACATTGCCATATACCCATATACAACACCATATACCCCCATACATCACCATACACCCCTTTACATCGGCATATACCCCTATACAACACCATATACCCATATACAACACCATATACCCCTATACATTACCATACACCCCTATACATCACCATACACCCCTGTATATCGCCATATACCCCTATACAACACCATATACCCATATACAACACCATGTACTCCTATACATCACCATACACCCCAGCACATCACCATATATCCCTATACATCACCATACACCCCTATACATCACCACACACCCCTATACATCGCCATATACCCCTATACAACACTATATACCCATATACAACACCATGTACTCCTATACATCACCATACACCTCAGCACATCACCATACATCCCTATACATCACCATATATCCCTATACAACACCATATACCCCTATACAACACCATATACCCATATACAACACCATATACTCCTATACATCACCATACACCCCTATACATCACCATACACCCCTATACATCGCCATACACCCCTGTACATCGCCATATACCCCTATACAACACCATATACCCATATACAACACCATGTACTCCTATACATCACCATACACCCCAGCACATCACCATATACCCATATACAACACCATACACCCCCATAAATCACCATACACCCCTTTACATCGCCATATACCCCTATACAACACTATATACTCATATACATCCCCATACACCCCTATACATTCCCATACACCCCTATACATCACCATACACCCCTATACAACACCATACATCCCTATACATCCCCATACACCCAATATATTCCCATACACCCCTATATATCACCATACACCCCTATACAACACCATACATCCCTATACATCCGTATACACCCCTCTACGTCCCCATACACCCCTATAAATTCCCATACGCGTCTTTATACATCACCATACAATCCTATATAGTACTTTTATGTGTGTCATTGTCCCATTTTATTTCTAGATGCCTTACATTCAGCAAAGCATATATAGCATTAATTCTTGTCAAAGCTCGCCACTAGTGGTGTGCCTGCATAGCATGGTTGCCCCCGTGGTGGTATAGCTGTCTGCAAAAAGTCCTTTAATTGCTTAAATTCCAAAAAGATGGTGGCTTAAAAAGCTCAATCTAACATCTCGTCGCAGTCACGCAACGGCAAAGTAAAGTCGTAGTGTTTTGCTAATCCAAGCATATTCTTATTGTTTTGGGGGCGTTCTCGTTGGCTTCGTTTTCGTCGTTTCTTGGTTCGAAGAGTAAGCCGGCCGACTTGTGCCGTTATGGGACTGGGGGATGGAGGGCGGGAGGGGGCGGTGAGATTAAACATGGACTGAAGCGACTGCAAATGCGTCTGATTTCCGCAGTTCCTCCGCAATTCGGCTACTAGCTCCAAGGTCAGTAGAGAAAACATTATTTATTTAATTCATCTATTCATTTATTTTCATTATTGGTATATGACCTTCAAATTTCAAGTTCATCAATAAAAAACGATATTGAATTATTCTATGTACTGGATGGAGATACCATACTCTGTTGAGCTTTTCACTGAAAATCTAATTCACAAATAGCAGATAGGTATATTTGCTAAATACATTGCAATTATTGTCGGTAACTAAAATTTATTTAGTATATATCCACTCAGGCTTGGTGTTTTGGGCAGTCTGATTGGTTGATAGTTATCTCCTAGGCCAAGCTCTTTCACAGTATATAATCAACAAAAGCATAAATAAACTTCAGACATTCATTAATAATTCATTAAAAACAAAAACAAAACAAAAGAAATTTTGTTTGTAAAATGAGTTTTTGTTTGTAAACGGCTAACCTTTACGTTCAACTGTTAGGCCATATAATAACCACAAATCTAAATATATTTGTGCAAAAATGAGTTCATCTATAAAATTAGCGGAGAATTTGAAGCCATTCAAAACAACTCGTCCAGGTGTAAAACCTCTCGGCTTCATTTTTAAACCTGATTATACTCATGCACATTTTTGTAAAAAAAATTCGCCTATGATCTCTGACCCGAGGTTAAATTTGTAACCCTGTTCGTACATTTGATGAACAGGACATCCACCCTGTATTCATCGAAGATTTTCAGTGACTTCACGCACGAAAAGTAGTCTGAGGTTTTCCGTGTCACGTTCCTCGTTGATTCCAAGCCCCAGTGAGGAAATATGCTGTAGATTTTGCAAATCCGAACGTTGCAAGTGTTTTTGTAGCTGCCGGGCTGTTGCTCTGAAGAAGCAGTTTCCGTCTTTGTTAATTGGGTCCAACTGAAGATTAAATCCTGTGAGATTTCTTAACAGGTTATCTTTGTGCTGTGGGGTCAAATTTAATTCCATAACGTTTAACTTTGACTCCGGTTCATAAAGGTAGGTTAGCTGCCGGTAAGTTTATCTTCCAGAAGACCAATCAAATCTGTTGTTTTGTTGTTACATTTTGTTGTCCAACTGGTGATAAATTCTTGTATGTGCAGCGCTCGTTCCAAAATGTAGTTCAAGACGGAATCGTTTTCCAGTTCTTCCACAGTCTTAACTGTGACGAAAACGGATGATGTCCCTGGCATTCTACTAGCCTTACTGCTATTTTCAGAGACAGTTCCAGATATTGAACCCGGTAATGACGTTGACGTAGAATCCACAGCCGTCATGTGAGACTGAAGATAAGGGTCGCTTGGTTTAAAGACTCTAAAGGCTCTAATTCAATTGACTTATTAGGGTGTTTTAGTATTCAACAAATTCCCACAACAAAATGCTACGTCAATGTTTACTGTAATCTTCGCTTTTGGGTACCGTTTGTACAACTCTCATACACGTAAGTGTTCTTTAAGTGAGTCGATAATTTCGGACGAAGAAGTCGTCTTCGTAAACTTCCATATCATAACTTCTCCGTTTTCGTTCACCCCCAGAAGACGTTTTAAACTGCAAAAGTCTGTAATTCATTGATGCAATGCCTTCAGATAATTCCATGAAGTTTTGTCCTTGATAAATACCAGTTATTAAATAATCATAAAGACGCAGCGTGTAAGAAAATGCAGAATTTAAGAGTTGAAAATTTGTAGTTATTTTAAAGGGTACTTTTTTCGGGGCCGGTTTTCAGAGGACGGATGCGAATAGGACAGCGGAACCATGGGTAAGAAAATTTGAAATACCGTCTTATTGGACCTTTACCAGATAAATAATTTGGTATGCATCCGAAAAATTTTGGTTCTGAGAAAATCGTCCGTACGGAAAGTCAGGAAGTACATTCAATATACCTTAATAAAGTGTGAGCATTTTTTTTGTTCATTTTTTTTTGTTTGGCATCGCGGGTCGGGTATTATCCAATAAAAAGCTACGTCCACTCCTTCATGTTAGCGGATACAAGATGGCGCACTTTAAAACTATCAGTGTAAAACTTAGTATTGGACGGTCCACGTCATGGTACAGCTGTCAAAAAAGGGTATCCTCTTACCAGTGGCACATAACTGTATCGCAGGCTCAGGTATACAACTCATGGGCGTGATGTCATTTTTAAAGTTATCTCCTGACCAGATTTTCGTTATTAATTAATGGCGGGCTCAGGTCAATTTTTTTAAAGGTAGAGTTCAGTTCGTTCCCTGCTTACGGCAAAAGTATAATTAATTGAGGAAGACAATTCCTAAAGCATTCTTCGAGAGCTTCGCTTTTGGCCTTGGCTAAATCTGTATATATTTATCTTAAGTGGATCTTTTGCCCTTTCAGTTGTAATATTGTTACCAGCCATGCAATACCAATAGATTTATTTTCTAGTTTGTTTTTTTCTCGTAGCTGGATACGGGAGTGATTTTACTGAAAACTTAAGTATTACTAAAGACTGTTTTCGAACATAACTAGCTTAAAACTTTACAGGCAATAAACTGTTAATAAACTGTTAATTGAGGAAGAGGTTTTCCCAAATTTTTTGTTTGATTTCTGACCCTGAAAACCAAAAAAAAACTGAAAGCCGAGCTGTAGACAGCGGGGATGGACGGAAGACGAAGAGGGTGGGGTCGGGGAAAAACAGTATTACTTACATCCGCCATCTGGCCGTTCACCGCGATATTCATCCTTCCTACAAGATGAACATAAAAATTCTCTAAGACACAATTTAGCATTGCACTGTTGCGTTGGACACCTACTGTTTCTTTAGAGCGATTTTCGTATGACCTTGAAAAAATGGTTTCGGTAAGTGTTTGTCATTTGTTTTATCAGCCAATGGATGAAAAGATCAGAACATGTACTCTTCGTTTTCCCGCCGAACAAAACCCTAATATGGAGAAGGCATAGTTCGATTTGGCCAATCGTGTTGCAGTACGACGTCAAAGCGAAGTATCGATTGATTTCTAGAACGTTCTTCGGGCATGAAGCGCGCCTTTTCATTTCAAGGTCATAGGGTAATCGCTCTAGGATGCCGGATCGTGCTTCTGTTCACACATACGAATGTATGTCAGCACTAACTGCATTACTACCATTTTATGTTCCCTCAGATATTGTTATGTGTTGTAACGTTGATAATAATGGCGAGATGGTGCAGCGCTCGTTCGGGCATGCAAGTAAAAATCAGAGGAAGCCATAAACCGTCAAGAGTAAAGAAGATCAACAGCATTTGGAGAAATTGCTCATCAAAAACACACAGAGAGAAAATGCGACGGGGATATTGTGATGAAAGGGCACCTCCGACCTACAGAAAGACAGTACAGTTGCATCTAAGTAAACTGGGATTCTTTCTCACCGTCTTGGGCAATGGAACGATTCACGGAGTTAACTACACGTACTGCCAACAAAATGACAGATGTAAGTACCGTAAATCCTTTATTAAGCCCCCCGGGGGCTTATTTTTTCCAAGCACTTTTGAGGGGGGGCTTAAAAGAGGGGGGGGGCTTATTTAATTTAGCGAAACGCATCACCTGTAGCAAAAATACCGTGGTATGAGACAGAGTAGACTTACGCGTTGTACAATTAAAGTCACTGTCAAAAGTATTTAATTCACTTGTGGGAGCCTAAAAGTAGCAAAAACAAAATTCTTATTCTTTAAAAATGTGCTTTCGGCCTCATGTTCTTCGGTAATTTTTATGAATAAACCATAACTGACCAGTCCACATTAATCGTTAATTTTTTTGTGAATAATAAGGATTGGGGGAGGGGGAGGGGGGATTAATAGAGAGGGGGGCTTATTAGCTCTCCTCCTATGAAAAGGGGGGGCTTATTAGAGGGGGGCTTAATAGAGGATTTACGGTAGGTCTCTGGTGTGGCTAACCTTCGAATACCAGCCCGTCTTTTCTGGCCTCATAGAGAGGAGAAGTCGTTACCTCACGTTACCAAGGTAGCAAAATTTCTGGATGACAGCAATGGCGAAAACGTCACTTCAGACTGTTTCAAAATTCATCGTTCTTATTCAATTTCATTTAATTTGTCAAATGTTGGCAAAATTTTCTGGGTTTGCATCTGAAAGTATCTAAGTTTAGAGAAAGAAAAAGAAAACTTTTGTGTTGTGTTCACTTACTCCACGAAACGGGCGCGTAAAATTGGGAAGTTTCATGAAGCAGTCGTGCAACAACGGCTAAGAAATGTACAAAAAAGCGTGCAAAGTTGTTGTTTTGCTAAGATAAACCTATTGCTTTTTTGCTGTTTTCTTTGTTGTCGCTGTCTATTGTTGTGATCCAGAAATTTTGCTACCATGGTAACGTGACGTCACACTTCTCTATATTCTAGCGGCGATGAGCGAGGAAAGACAGCTGTATTCGCGGGCTATGCAGGGGTGGACGTAAGGGGAGGGTGCAGGGGGTACGCCCCCCGAGATAACCTGCGGTTTTCTAATACAACTGGTATTCTGCAAAAAAAAAAACTATGTGGTTTATTGGTGTTGAGGTAGAGCAAGAGACGAGTGCACCCCCTCCTAAAAAAAATCCTGGATCCGCCTTGCTATGGTGTGTCAAGATAGGCAGTTACTAGTTGTAGAAATTTAAGGTAAATACATGGGAGCTTACGAAATAACGACTGAAAATGGCAGTTTAGAAGGCACTAATAGAACAAATACGCGTTCTTTTAATCTTTATCGTGATCAATCCTACTCACTGAATTTGTTAAACGCAGACAAATTTTCCGGGGTTGAATTCCAAGGAGTCGCATCCAAGTTCAAAAATGGAAAGGAAAACACTCGTTGTAGAGTTCTTACGCCCTCCATGAAAAGACTATTGGGACCTTTTTTGTGCCTTTTTATAAAAGACTGACAACTGATTTTCTTGCAGGTAAATTTGAGCTTCAGGCCTGTGACACGAGCGTAGTAAGAATAAAGCACCAACAGACAGGACTGTATGTGGCCATGCACAAGGGCGGCAAAGTCTACACCACCCTGGTAAGTAGTCATTTTTGTTACATGACTGTAAATTCAGCTAGACCGGCTTACCATTTCCAATTCGCAGAGTGTTTGGATTTCACGATTGAACTTTCCTAGTTGTTCTGAAAATACAACATGAAAAAACACCCCATACTTACTTTCTTTGCCTTGTGAGGCCCGTTGACTTACAGCGGTCTTGCACTCCGACTTGCTCAGGTATCCCGTTAGGCGGGGACCATTTGCAGGGGACCAGGTTCGATTAGTGGATTATTTTGGCCTTCTGGTGTGCCCTCCTTCACGCGTTACTCCGTATAGCCGTTGCACTCCGGCTCTGTTAAGTATCCTTTACAGTCGTTCGAACATTGCACGGACCAATTTTGCACCATGAGGTCCATGGCTGAGGGCACCTGAAAAAAAAAAAAACATGAAAAACCCCTAAAGATTGTTCTCAACCTTGGTAAAAGAATTACATTTGAAATGCAAAGTTTAAACTTTGTATTTCAAATGTAATTAAACAAGGTTTAATCATGTCTTCGTTGTTTACCCAACAGAAGCACTTTCAGTCAAGTACATTGTTTATTCAAGAAATGACGCACACTGGCTGGATGGTGTTCAAATCCGAAAGAGCATACAGAAAAGGAAAATGCATGTTTCTCGCGTTAAGGAAAAATGGGGACGCTAAAAGATCTGCGCTATCGAACAAATACTCACAGTTCATGGAGCTCTAGAAAAAGACACCATACTTAGACTTATGAAAATCTGAGGAGATTACAAGTGAAAGTGAAATAAAGCACAAGATTGACTCCATCGCTCAAACTCCCATGATGATGTCACTTTGTTATGTGATGACGTTACCTATACTGCGTCACCACTTCCATCTGGTGACGTCATATCTACTACAAGGTGATGACGTCATATCTTCTGCAAGACAAGTTAACGAATGCGCAAATATACAAGAGAATATTGTGTATAATATATTTATTGAACATTCGTGTTACAATTAAAGAGAAAATATGTCCCGGCTATTCGCTTCAGTTCTCGACAAAAAAGTTATCAATACTCGCGACATATTTTAACAAGAAAAAAACTATTTATTTTCAGAGAATTCATAAATAATCTACAGATACAGGCTTTTCGTGAGAGATGATAGGTATGGACCACAACGAATGTCTCGTGAGCTGTAAATTCATCTCCTCCTTTTTCGTGATTTATCACAAATTAAGATTTGAGATTTTCTTAGAAATTCGACTTTTGGAGGCCTTCGATGTCAAAGGATTCTCCTTTAAAAAAATAAATGGAAAATAACACAAAGCAAAAATCAACTGCACTAAATTTCTTCATTTAAACAGAAAACAGTGAACAGATGTCACAATCATGTATAACTTCAGATGGGCACAAACAACCGAAACTTTTGCCACAAATCAAAAACCTTTTCAAGGTCATTTAGAAAAATAAAAGTATCAAGACTATTTAATATCTCTGTTTTATTCTTGTGTTCTATAGATATGCTTATGTGCTGTCAATGTGTAGTTTGCTCTTATCATAGTTCAAAAATTTGTTTCGCTCTTCATAAATATCGTAAATTTCTCTAGATTTTATACACTCTTTTTATTTATTAATTTTTTTTTGAAGAAAAGAACAAGACTCGTGTTTTCCAGTCTGCTATCTGGGAGAACATTGGTGGTTTTGAAACGCTGTGCTTAGTAACAGAGGTTTCATTGACAGGCTGTCGTTTTCACACAAAATATTTATAGCACCATGGATTGATGGTCTAGCTCAACAAATTTCCTTTCATTTTCTTTTGTTAGTTATCATCAAAGTGAACGGCTAACCTTTTTATTTTTTACTCTTATTTAAGTTTACTGATCAGGTTAATTTTTACTGCTGTAAATTCGAAGTCAAGACTGCTCCATATTTTCAGTAACATCCGGGTTACTTTTCAGGCAATTTTCAAGGATAAACCGCGCCACATCACATGACGCCCAGTAAGACACGTGGGAAGTAACCGCTGACCAGTAGTTGCTTTCCATGTATCCCTCTCGTAATGTGTAATCAAGTCTCTCTTTCAGCACTGAAAGACAAAATATAACGTGTTAATGTTAACAAAGTTAGAGGAGAACACCTCCTCCTTATAGATGTACAAAAACGTTCTACACTGTAGTCAATGATCTTCGGGACATGAACAGCTGATCTGAGATAAGAGGGAGTTTAAGCAACGACGTTTTTGAGCGACGCTCGTCAACCGGAAGTGAACTTTTTGTACCCTTCGGCCGTGATGTGGAAAAATTTTAGGCAAATAGTCTCTATAAGAGTTTAGTAAGATCCAACTAGTGGTCTATTATCAATGCTGCGTTCTGATTGGTTGAGCTACTACTAGGCTATGTTATAGCCCCCTAGTAGCGAAAAGCGCGGGCTTTTTGGCGGCAAAAAAGGATTAACTCGATATTTTGATTGGTTGAGCTACTACTAGGCTATGTTATAGCCCCCTAGTAGCGAAAAGCGCGGGCTTTTTGGCGGCAAAAAAGGATTAACTCGATATTTTTGACCAACTCGCCCTCATGGCCTCTGACTCAATAGCCCATACGGCCTTCGGCCCCATGGGCTATTGACTCAGAGCCCATTCGGTCTCGAGGAATAATTGTTAAAAAGACACTTACCCATACAAATTTGGTAGCGTCAAGGCATAATAAAAGAGAAAAAAGCTCACTTCCGGTCGACGTGCGTCGCTCAAAAACGCCGCTGCTTAAACTCCTTGGTCGAGCTAAACCCTTAGGGTTGCTTCATTATAAAAGCTGAACAGGTAAATGCCGCGCAAAAGGCAATGGTTTATTTGCTATTTTGGCTAAAAACGGGGATAGATTTTCCCCATAAAGGTCTAAAATCGGGTATGGTTTTCAAGGGAACCACAACAGCGCAGAGTCAAATACTACTATATAGTGAGAGAGGATCAAATAACATTGACTTAGCTTGAACAAAGTAATGGTTTCACAAACAGCGTACAACTTTCAGAAGCCGCATGTGAAAACGGATTTGGGAAATTGCAAGTTTTGGTCTGAAACAGGGTCAGTATTTGGCAAGAGAGAATTAGCTCATTCTCTCTTGTCTTTGGCGAACAGGGCGGCACATCACCAGCAGGAATTCCTAGGAATACCCTTCCCACCACCAGGGTTCTATCTAGGATATTTGAGGGGTAGAAGCTCCCACCCCCCCAAATGCCCAGCTTCCCCCCCAAAAAATTAATATTGTTGTCACTACAGTATTAAGTAACTATATCGTCACTGCAGGTCACTGCACACACTGTTATACTTCTCAAAATTCACCAAATTGGATCTCAGCACATATTCATTTCAAAAATTTTGGGGAAGAGGCATGCCCCTGGACCACCCTTAGAAGCTCGTGGCCTGCGGCCACTCGGGACTTCTCCCCCAAACGATAAATCCTAGATGGAACCCTGCCACTACCACCACAACCACTCTCAGAGGAAACTTTTGACCGTACAATTGGTTCTCGGACGTTTAAGGCTACGAATCATATCAGGATTCAGTTTGCTTGTTTGTTTGTTTTTTACCCGGGCGTATATTTGAGGAAAAACGGTAGAGTCGTAATGCTCCGATAAAGCTGCAAAAGTTTTGATCCAGACTCACTTAAAAAAGAATCACCACAGTTTTGACGGTTAAGTCTAAAAGTGAACGGTATGTTCATAGTGTTCAAGATTGTTTAGACACTACTCAAATATGAATAGAGGAAAAATCGTTCAATTATAAACGCACGCTAGTTGGCAGAGGGAAAAGCAGTTGCTATCTAAAGGGCTGGCCGAGGAACTGAACTCGGTACTCCAGAGAAACACCTTCCCCTACTGGTCAAAGGTGGACTAGAACACGGACCTGCACATTAGGTACACTGCGTCAGGCTCGCTGACCTCTCAGCCACGTTGCTATCGCGCGACCGTTCAACGAAAAGGCTGTAGCGGAATGTTACAAAGGAGGTGCAGGTGATAGATGTATGCGAAATAAATCATATAAGAACTGCGGGAATGAAATCAAGTGAAGAAATGATCCTCGCATTTGTGAACGCAATTTATGCAATTACGAAAGAAGCCTGAAAAAAAATTCAGGACTTCAACGGGGTACGAACACGTGACGACGCGCAGTTACCTTTTGCAGGGACTGTTATGTGTTCCTCTTTATGGCTCTGTTCTTGCTTTTTAGCGCTATCTGTTTCTTCTGTTTCCTGACTTGAATTACTGGATGTTGAACCAAACAGACTCGCTATCCAACCTTTTCTCTTTGACGGAGATGATGACGGCCCGTCTGTAGCCATGGCAACACACTGTCCTTCACTGCCATTCACTGAAGGAAAATCATCTATCAGTGTTTCTACTGGTTTTTGGGACATAAAACGAGTTTCGGGTTGGGTTCAATTTCCTCAAGTTATGTCTTTCTGAACAAGGCCAAAAAGAGTGGACGGGACCTAAACGCACTTAACCTAGATTTGAAACAGAGGTCTGGGAAAACTATAAGGCAAGGCGGCTCCTAAGATGCAACTGTAATAAGGCCAATCTGCCTTCGTAAATGCCATCGGGCATGCCCATATAACAGCACACTCGTACAAAATGAATCTGTAAGTCAACGCTGTGGATTACTGAGACAGAGTTATAAGAAACCTTAAGCAAAGAAGTTTTTGAGCGAGGCAAGTCAACCGGAAGAGAGCTCTCCTCTCTTTTAAAATGACTCGATGCTATCAAATTTGTCTTACGAAGTGCCTTCACTCAATAGTGACGATTTACCCTAAAAATTTGGGCAAACCATCGCCCAAGAATGCAAAAAGACCACACTTCTAGCTCCCATGCGTCGCTCAAAAACGATGTGATGATACAATGTATATCCAAATCACCTGAGCAGACTAGAAAGAGTAGAAAAATTGCATCTCCTCGAATCACAGCCCAAGTTTTCTGGAGCTTCCCAAACGGAATGACGCAAACCATTTGATTTTCCAAGCAGAATTTCCGGATTTCTCGTGTAAATGGTAAGTGTTTGGTAAGCAACGCCCTGCGCGCATCCATAAGTCAATAAAAAAAGTTTACCTGTACTTTTGTCCGCTGATGCCGCATTGTGTACAACCACCACATCGTCCTCGTCCATGTTCTCTTCGCCATTCGAGCTGGCGTCGGCCTCTTCTGTTTTCTGTCTCGAGAATCCAACACGGAACAGGCCACCCCACTTACCGGCTGCCTGCCCTGTTTTGCTGGGTTTAGCTTCGGTGTATCCGGCCTGTTTGCTGTCAAAGCGGTGCAGCTGTACAGGAGGAATGTTACTGTAGTCTCCACAGATCAGAGGTTCCAGACGATACGCCTGAAAACAACGGAACACTCCATTCACTGTTATACGTAAAATAATATGAGATTTTAACTCAAGTGGGGCTCACGCGTCATTTTGGCGGGAAAACGTGGTAGCCGTCGTCATTCTGCTAAGGGTTTTAGTGAGAGTGTCATACTGGCGAAACAAGTTATCAAATGTTGGAAGTTTCGTTATTTTGCGCTAGAGAGAGGGCTTAACCTCCTGCGTGCTAACTACGTACAATGAAGCTTTCCGGGGTGTTAAATTTTTGGGAATGAGCGAAAAACTTAAAGTTAAATCTCTTCCTTGTGGTCGTCCTTGCCCTCAAATCTAAAGAGCCCACACCAATATAGAAACATAAAACCTTTAAACTGGGACCAAAACCAGTCGAACACTAGTACATAATATCTTACCACAGGGTCGGCTGGATGATAAACATTCAACAAACGCTTACAAACGGACTTAGGAAGCACGTGATCTTCCACGTCATCTTGAGGTCTAAGCCCTCGTAACGCCAGGAATACTGCCAGCGGTGATCCCAGGCAGAATAAGTTTTCCACCTGTGAATCAATAACATGAAGTGAAAAACACCGAACAAAATCACGGACTATATCACTACAAGCATGTTCAATGAATGATGTGATATTTTGGACTGGAGTGTTGGAGTAACTCCGGTCCCACTGTTGGTTTCCTCCGTGCTCGGTCATCCGATTCTAAAAAGTCCATGGATGGAAAACTCAATTCTTAATTATGAAAGCGCTAACTAACTCTTCGAATCTCCGACTCAACACCACACAATAATTTCTTTCTGTTCATACGGAACTGACGAACCAAATTGAACTTTCACTTACTTCAATAGTTTAATCATCTACCCATGTGCAGGGCGCTACTTAAGTATATCCAAAATAGCGTCTCCCAGCTGAGTTACCACGCATCTACGCAGCCACGCCTTTAAAACGCCTTTTCAGTACAAAAATTTAGATGGTCGTAGTGTTCACACCGCACGGGTCACATTTTCGACCATACTAGTTAAAAATTTGACCTCCTTGCTGTGAAACAGACATTTTGGATCGTTATAAGTTTCTGGGAAACTGCCCAGCTATCCCGCCACTAAAGCAACATTTTGCCCTAAGTGAGAAGTAAGTGTTAATGCTGGCTTAGGTGAGGGGTAGGTGGGCATTTTGTCCCCTTTTTTGGTATTTGGCCGGCGGGAGGAAAAGAATACCAGGAAAAAGAGGGGAAACTGCCCAACTACCCCTCCCCTAAGCCAGCATTTTCCCCTAAGTAAGAAGTAAGTGTTAATGTTGGCTTAGGGGAGGGGTAGGTGGGCAGTTTCCCAGAAATAATGATCCGACATCTCTCTAAGACAGACACGTAGTGCCAGGTCCAAGGCTTCCATCCTAGCGCAGAGGTCTCAGACAGAGTTGACTGCAAACAGCTTCCATTAGTACACTAATTATGGCATAACCTCATCACGCACACCTTAAATTTCAGAGCATAGGGGCATTCGTTTGAACCATTGTTTGCACCATGTGATTCATGTTCCACTTCACTTGCTATCATAGCCTCAAGTTTCATGACTTGACTGCGAGCCTTGGCTAACTCTACTCTCAAGTTCTCTTTTCTTTTACCCTCAGCACTAGTCTCCATGCCTTCAACACTACCTCTACTGGTAACTGACCGCAGATAATGCAGGCTTTCAGTGAGAAAGCCTGTCCCAGTTGTTGAATCGTGGGATAGGTGTCTTAACTCAATATCCCAGAGAGTTAAGATGTCGTACGCAATGACACTGCCGAGTGAGTGGGCTAAAATTGAAATTTTGCCGCCTTTTTCCAGAAATGAGGGATTTCTAGAGCAGAACATGTTGTATAAGCGATTCATTTCATCTCTTACTCCGTCAATGATCTGCAACGAAAGGTAACAAAAGGATAACTCAGGGCGCTTTCCAAAAGTCAGAACTGGCCGGCGGGACCATAGGCTCAGTCTTAGCCTTGAGTGTTTCTCCATGCTCCCACACAATACAGAGCCGATCCAGACCTTGAGATAATGGGGGGGGGGGGGGCGGGCCCCCCGGGCCCCGCCCCTGGATCCGCCACAGCAATGGTGGGGAGTACCGCAGGCGCATCGAGACACCCAAGATTGGAGAATGAGCCAAGCCGGACCATGGCTGGACCAGTAAGTTTAACAATGAAATAGGCTTTCTCCAAGAGGTTTTGCTGAAAACCATCTATTTGATTAATCTGGCTGGATAGTTTTGTTTAAAAGTGAAATTCTCATTTCGATGAGAACGGTCTGGCCGGTCACTTCTGACAATGAAAAGCGCCCTAAGTCAGACAGTACAGTTCAATTACTAGTACAATGTTTACTCGAAAAAAGTGCTTCCTCGGACACTTGAAAAATTTTCCGACCTGTAGTATTAGCATTAAAAAACGGAAATATTTTCCCGATTAAATAACTAACAAAAAATACAATTTGACATTGCTCTACTTGATTATTGAGAAAGATGCTCTGATGTGTAGCATAGCACTAATGCTCTTATGCCTTTCACACAGGGGTGGCGGATACTCCCACCAATTTAAGATACTAGGTATGAAGAAAGACTCCCAAGAAGATTTCTTCACACACTGCTCTTCAGGATTATCTGCGCAAGGGAAAACAATCTGCCATCATCAAAAACCTTTATCCCGCAGCACACTCACTCCTTCAACCACACAGCTTGGACATGGGGGCATCTCAGGGAAGTTCTCATTAATCACCTAGGGAAGGGACTTTTCTACGACCTCCCCCCCCCCAGCACAAATTCTAATTAAGCTTTACACACCTCCTCCCCCTGGAATTTCCAATCTCTTGATTCTGTGGGGGAGTCAGTGTGGTTATTTTCTGTAACTACACAATATGGCCCGGTAATATGTAGGCTTTCTCCTCCGGAGAGGTTTCTTTAGCGAGCTTAAGCAAAGACGACGACGACCACGGCGACGGCAACGAGAACCGCAAAAAAGCAATAGGTTTAGATTGGCAAAACAACAACTTTGCATGTGCATCACACTTTTTTGTACATTTCTTAGTCATCGTTGCACGACTACGACGTGAAAGTGCCTAATTTCACGTTTTGTCGAAGACGGGAACACAAGACAACAAGTTTCTTTTTCTTTTCTTGAACTTTGATAGAGTCCTTTGGAATCCAACTCCAAAAAAATTTACCAACATTTGACTGAGTAAACGAGATGGAATAAGCGCGATAAAGTTTGAAGCAGCGCAAACGACGTTTTCGTAGACGTCGCCGTCGTCTTTGCTTAAGCTCCCTTTCGTGTTGTAGAGAGACTGGGGAGAGGGAAAAAGAAAGCGGGTGGGGCCCGGCGGAAGAGAGAGATACTGCATGTGGGTTGAGCTTGTTTGAGTTTTCTTTAAGGGCCTTTAGTTCTTGCCCCACGCTTCAAGAGACATGCGTGGAATGTGATGGCTTGCAAGTGGCATAGCTCCAGTGGCAAAGTAGGTTGATTTATCATTTTGTACCTCATATCTGTAAAACGGACTTGTGTAATACATGATGTCCATCATGCTTGTGTTTAGTACCTTCCGCAGACCAGACACAGACGATGGTGTAATACACTCAATGGTACCTTCAACAGTTAAACAGTACTCAGTTTATGATAACAATAATAATTCACTATTTATATGGCGCTTTATACATGGCTCTAAAGCGCTTAACAAGAAATATTGGGACTGCAAAAAATAAAAGAATATAAAATCTGATAAACATTTAAGACCCTAAAAACTAGAAACAGAGAATATTAACAATAAAAAAGTGCAATAATGTCAAGGTCCACAGAAAAAGAAGCAAGACAAAGTTTTCAGCAGATCAAACTTCAAATGAAACAGATTTCCACGGTTTCGGCGCTGTAACGCTGAACACACGGTCTCCAAACGAAACGGTGTTTATAGTTGGAACTTTCAGTCACAACTGTTCGTAGGGATTGCGTTGGGACATATCGAGATTGCGTAGGGACATGTCAGCATAGCCCTTCGACTGGCTAAAACAAGGATATGGAAACATGTACTTCTAACTACTGAGACTGGTGTATGAATTTCACTGAGCTGACCATTCAAATGAAAGCTACTGAGCAGTACTTTCCTGTGGTACTGTTTATTATGCTGTACAAGGTGGTTCTAACTCAGAGTCTGTGGATGAAATCCTAAAGTGTGACCATTCAGATGAACGTTACTGGGCAGTATTTCCTGTGGTACTGTTGATTACACTGAGATATTTTTACCTTCATCCAATTTTAGCGATGACCTCCATTCCACAGGAATAAACTCCACCCGCTTCTCTTGAGGAATATCAGGTTGTTTTCCTAGAACAGTAGTTGCTCCATGTCGAAGGCTGTCAGGTGTTACATAATGTTGGACAAAAATTGAACAACATAAATCCTCATATTCTGCTCTAGTAAGCACACAATGAAATGAGGTGGAAGCTTGGGTGAACAATTCCATAGAAATCACTATAACTATTTTGTTGCACCAAGCCTCAAAATTATAGAGCTTTAATTTATTCACAGGAATGTGGGAATGGTGCACTGAACTCTGGAAAGAGTGTTCCATCACTGAATATATCAAAACACTGAAAAATGGGCAGAAACAAAAGTAAGTTGCCTTGCCAGAGTATTATAAGCAACAAGTAGGTAAGGAATTGAACAGCTAGGAAGTTCTTTGGTTCTACTTTCCTCTATTGCCCTGAGAAAACAGCCAATATTGACGCCACCACTGGATTCCCCGCAAAATGACATCTGAGCAATGACTGCAGTAATTCCAAACTGATGATGTATCACTACCCAGATCTGCGTAGTGCTTCCGATTGGTCATGTCGCATGGGAAATTTCCTTCAACCAATCAGAAGCACTACCCATATCTGGGTAGGGAATGTCACCAGCAAGGAACTTCCGCAGTCGTTGCTCAGACATCATTTTGCCGGGAAACCTGTGGTGGCATTGTTTTCTCAGGCTAACTTTCCTTGAAAGTAGCCGCAGGTCTTACAAACAGTAGCAAGTGGAAATCCAAGGCCCATGACCCTTACCGGCTTTCAGCCCTGCCACTTTAAATTAAAAAATTCTGAATCAAAAGTGAAGTAAGAAGCTTACTCAGCACAACTCCTAACAATATTGCTCATGTGAAGCAGCTGTCCAATGCCATGGACGACAAACACCAAGTGAGTGATATCATGAGGCCTGTCATCAGGGCTGGCATCTGTATGGTATCCACGATGAAGCTGAGTAGCTGCCCCTAATGAAACAATCAATGGACAATGTTTCATTGGAAGTTTTAAATGCTCTTGACAATAACTACATTAATCATAACTGTAACAAAATTCTCAAATCTCTGTCCTGAGTTCAGCACTAACAGGACAGTACACACCATCACGCAGGCTGAAATGGCTTTTTTTCACTTCTAGCAAAAAAAAACTCTCAGAACTTCTTGGGTTTTAATAATTAGAAAAGAGCCTAAAATATCACAAATTTGTTTGTAGTTATGATTAATTGGTAACAGAACTTCATGTTGTCCAATTCGGTCTGTAATCGTACTCGTGATTAACAAATAAGACTCTTGCTATGCAGTTGACTGATTCTGATAATCACTCGTATGATTACAGACTGAATTGGACTCTGTACGTCCTATTACCATTATTAATAATCAATAGTGGTAAAAGGACCAAATTATTTTGTATTCTATTGAAATCCTCTGTGTTGGTGACTGCTTCTGAAAAATCTCACAATCGAAAATAGGTTTTAGGAAACTTTTCCTGCTGTTAGAAAATCACCGCATACAGTCTGTGGTGCCAAAACTTTCAGACCTTAACAGTCTACTGTTAATAGCATATTCAGAAAAAGTAGCATCATATGAATATTAATGATGAAATAGTGATGTGAAGGTTACCCCCAAAAGATGAATGACTCTATGTCAAGTTATTTTAGGTCAAGTTCAAGCGTCAAATTTTTCATGTACCAAACTTAACACCTATTTCGGTCGACCCAAATGATACAAGTCCAACGGTTGATTCAGACATTGAACTTACATAACTTAAGTAGCCAGTCTCGATTCATTTTTACGATGTACAATGGTGTACAATGCTTATCACTAAAAATAAATAATTATTATAGTAATTTATGCTTAAGGTTCAGAACATGAGAGGTTCGACCTTTCAAACGAAGTTGCTCCACAGTCAAAATTTCCATGTGGCCACTCAATCTTAATTCATGGGTTGACCCAAACTTGATTGATTCAAACATTGATATCTTTATGTACTTAATTAAAGGAATTAATTAAACTGGGCCTTATTTGCTAAAAATCAATGCATGATAGTGCAGGTTATAAACAAGCTTTACCCAAATAGCCTTTTCCAGGGGTTAAGATAGCCGGGCAATAAAGTGAGCAAAAAAATTAATAATAATAACAAGGGAGAGAGTGGGGATGGGATTCTCTCTCTACTCTCCCTAATACTCTTTTTTTTTGCTCACTTTATTTTTAGCCCAAGCCCCACTTTCTGAAAGCCTGGAACAGGCTATACAGTGAAAAGATTTCATTGGTGTACACTACTAGGAAGAAACCACAAACTCATTTTAAACTTAACTTTATTTTTTTGCATAAAAATAACTTTTGAAGACGGCTTCAGCTTATGAAGGGGAGCGAGCAATTATTAGGTAAGTTTTGTTTTTAGCAATTTTAATAATACTGTTATTGTCATCGTACCTGACGAAAACCCAATCCTTTCACCAACATTTCTTATGATTCTAGATTTCATGTCATCCCAGTACAGCCACACATCTGTGATGTCATTCCACTCCACATAAAAGCCTTTCAAATTGAGTCGGCCAAGTCCTGAAAACATAGGAATTACACAAATTTGTTTGGCCTACTAATTATTCAAGGTATACATGGAGGTCTGGGAAGTGTTTTCCTCAAGGTTAACCCTTCAGGCCCCAAGAGTGACCAGCATCAATTTTCTCCTAACAACATCAGCCGATCATCAAGAGTAAAGGTTATGAGAATTACTAAATTGATTACCATAGGGAGAATGCTTTGATCTTAAACCAAATATTTCTCTCAACCATTCTTAAAAGAAATGTCATGATTTGTATGTGGATCTTGGGGCTTAAAGGGTTAAGCACTACTAGAGGTCCTTAGCAGATATCAGGTTAATAGCAACAAAAACAGAAACAGAATAAAACAATACAGAATTAAAAATGATTATTTCATTTGCCCCCAGCAATTTAACTACATTATAATGGACATTTAACTTGCATGAGACAAATTGAAACGTTACAATAATTTTACAGGAAGAAAGAAAGTACTGGCAATTCAAAATTCTAGTGCAATATTTTTTTACACAAAACAGCCATTACCTTGTCGTTCAGAAACTGTTCTTTCACTTTCATCTGGTCCAACATGAAGACCCTACAAGGAAACAAATCTGTTCTTAAACAACAGTAGGACACAACTTATACAACTGAAAAAGTTTGATGCATAAAATTTAATAAAACGAGCAAAATATATATGTTTAAATGACCCTGGATCTGCCACAGGATACTACTCAGATTATGTGCAAAACTTAGCCTACGTATAAGTACCTGCGAACATCTCTTTTTTTACGCATTTTCCATCAAATCATCAATGTTCAAAGAAATCATTGCTTGTACATCAAAGAATAATTTTGTTTTGTGTGGTAGCATTACTAGCAGGCTTGAGCAACAACAATGAAATGAGGGAAACAAGGAAATCAAAAAAGCAATAATTCAAGAAGCAAAACAAAAACTGTGAATGTGCATCACACTATTAATTTTGGTAGACTTCTTTTCTGTCATATGACTAAAACTGGTAGCCTTGATCAGCAATGGCAATGCAAATATTGCTTTAATCTTTAAGGTCATCAGCTCATCAATATTAAACAAGCAACTTTGAATTTATCAGAGGTACCCATGCAGAGTCTCCAAAATGGGTCAAACCCACTGGCAACATTAGCCTGAGGTTAAACCTTAAAGTCCCAGGAGCGATCAACATCAATGTTCTCCTAACGTGATCAATACTCAATCAAGAGAAAAGGTCATGAGAATTAATAAAATAATCACGAAAGGGAAAATGCTCTGATCTTTTATCAATTTCTCCCAGCTGATTCAGTAAGGAAATGTATAGAGATCAGTTGGGAGAATTTGTAACCAGGTACTGGGGCTTAAAGGGTAACCTCACCTCAATTAATTAAAGGCCCTGATGAAATAAAATTCTGACAAGCGACATGGTTTTGAAAAAGTGAAATAAGACTAACTAAAAGTACATAAAATAGCAACAAATGACATAAAGATGGGTTGAATACCCACAAGGACATAGTCGACTCCTCAGACCAAGAAACGACCATATTTGAAATTCGGACTAGGGACATAATGTGTTACAGGTCAAAATTAAATTCAGGTTAACATTTTTTAATCTACAGTCTCAGACAAAAATAGTTTGGACACTTCCACCCAATGCTCTTTTTTCACTTCTGGCTCGTAACCTCATCCTCCAAATGTTTTTTATCACGTTGACTCACCAAATCTTGCAAACAAACATTGAGAGGGCAAGAAGACAGCAAAGTGTCTGCAACAATAATTATTTTGACGGAGACTGTAGGTTGATTCTAATTCATGAATAATTAAGGCTAGGAGACAAAGGAAATTGAGAATCAACCGAGGTTAAAGAACATTAACCTGAAATTAATTTTGACCTGTAACATACACACTCCCCCTACAAGGGCCTCAATTAAAAACTAGAACTTTTGAACTACCAAAATTGTTTTGGTAAGCGCACAAACTTGCTGAGCGACAGCATTTACATGTACTGCTTTTACAATACTCTACACAGTTTTTTGTTCAGTCAGGACTCACCATAGACCTCCAAATGGTCTGATGTGACATCTCTATCTGCTCTGCATCTTCCTCAACAATAGGTTGCCACAACTCAGGTGCTCCAGATCCAGTGAACCACGTTCCTCGGCAAACTGCCAGAGCATTGCCTGTGATGAAAAATAATTCCTTCAGAGACTGCACACAAACCTTTGCTTCCTTCATGAAGAAAAACTTGAAAAAATTGAAGAACTGTAATCTTGCAACCTTAATAATGCTGACTAACATTGAGTTACAACCATGGTCAGGCTTTATTTGGAAAAATGGGTTTTGAATTTTGGATGCATGGGTGGCTACGTATTGTAAAAGAATGGTTTAACACATAAATTAGACTTTTTTCAGTGAGTTCAGACTTCATAAAAAATCATTGCCTTGTAATATGTTGTATTGGAAAAAGGAAACATTTGGCAAGCTCTTGTATAGCTGACTTTAATTTCTTCTGATGCTGTGATACCTGCTTTAAGTTGATCCCATACTGTAAGTGGACATGAGGATCATTAAGATTCAATTTTTTCCTCTCTGTCACCCAGTTAACTTAGTCGGAAAAGAGCCAGTTTGCCGAGCACAAGAACACAGGTTAAAAACCCAGCCAGACCACCAATCAGGGTCTTAATAAACTGGTAAGATCATGCTTGCTGTGATCTAAGACCTCTTGTTTCAGTTCACATGATTGGGTTATTGAGCACCGATGTCAAGCCACTGGACCTGTCTCCTTCATCCTTCTTTCATTGGTCAAATCAAAGTGGGGTGTACAAGAACCCACAATACTGTTTAAAAGGGAAGGGCAAGTTTCCCCGATGGTGTAATCTACCTCATTGCCCAAATCATTCATCTAATAATACATGGTTCATACAGAATTTTACAGGGAAAAATCAAGGACTTTTCAAGGACTAAAATAATCAATTTTTCAAGAATTTCTTTTCCTTGCAATTTGACATAGAATGACATGAAGTAAAGACCTTTCAAATTCGCAGGTAGACGGGGGTTTGCTAACTGCAATACCTTACCCCAGGAAGGCAGGGTTCCTAGGGTACTTAAATAACGGAAAATTAACTATGCCAGGAACATTGAAATCATAAGAAAACACACTTTCATGATCACCAAGAAAATTTGCGTGCCCTGTGCTTTCAATCTTTCCTTTGTGCAAAACACCTTTTTTAACAAAGGTTATTTATTATACAAGGAACTTTCAAAAATATTCAAGGATGTCTGTGGAAAATTCAAGGACTTCTCGACGATATACCACAATTTTTCAATTTTCAAGGACTTTTCTAGGCCTGTGTGAACCATGTAATAATTAACCAATAACCAATTATTATTGGTTAGGTTGGTTACACTAAGCTTGTTAATGGATAGCCTGAGAAACCAGCCAACATTTTGTGACACCACCACAGGTTTCCCTGTAAAATGACGTCAGAGAAATGAATGCAGAAATTCCATATGATGATGCATCACTACCCAGATCTGGGTACTACTTCTGATTGGTTGAAGCAAACAAAAGTTTCAGCCAACCCGAAGGACTACCCAGATCTGGGCAGCTAGTAACCCCAGTAGTGACGCGTCATTAGTATGGACTTTCTCGGCTTGTTTCTCAGACACCATTTTGCAGAGAAACCAGTGGTAGCATCACAAAAATTAATGTCTTTTCTCAGGCTAGTAAATGTACCACTAGCAGCTGCCAGGGGCACCAGCCTTGTATAATTTCTGATGTCTGTGCTTACTGTTAACATTTGATGTATTACGTAAAGAGAACATGTCTGTTTTCCTCTCCGCTGCAACATTTCATTCATTCACTTCATTCATAGTGAGGGTCCAGGTGCTCTGCGACAAACGCAGACTGCAGACTGGCAGGTAAACAAGGTAAACATTGTTGTGAAATGCTCTAACAGATTCCCCATCCCTAAAGTTTCAGTCTTCGAAAAGTCTATTTAGGGATAGGGAATCTCTTAGAGCATTTCAAAAGGATGTTTACCTCGTTTACCTGCCAGTCTGCAGTCTGTGTTTGTCGTACACGGGGTCCAGGGGATGTCTACTTAATACAACTATCACTATAGTTGTGGTTCAATTTTATCCTTGGTTTAAATTTTATTTCCCTTTGTTTTGGGGTATGGTGATGCATGGAAAATTAGTTTAAAACAAAGGGAAATAAAAATTAAAATTAGTTTAAAACAAAGGGAAATAAAAATTAAACCAAGGATAAAATTGAACCACAACACATATATGCTGCATCAGCAATTTCACTAACCTTTCCAATATATGGGTTTGCATTCCCTAGCAACTACATCCACCTCATACAACCCTCCTTTTACAGTTGGCATTTCATAGATGGAGGAAGTATTGAGGATTTTACTGCTGTCTTCCTCCCTTATCTCAAGGTCCAAGATTTTGCGATAACAGTTTTCAATAGACAACGAATCACAGCCATTGAAAGGTTGCCATTTCTTGTCCTCCTTCACAAACCAGCGAACTCGATCGGCTTTGAGGCCTTGTATAGCTTCTAGGTGCTGTTGAATGCTTGGAGGACGAGGTAATTTGCAGTTGCTCGTTGGTGGAGGAGGTCTAGGAGGTTTGGGAGGCGATTTAAGGGAAGGAGGATGTTTTTCCTCTTCACCATCGTCACTCATTCTTTAGCTGGTAGCTTTCCCTTTCAATAACACCTTTACCGTTTCTGTCGAATTATTTCTCCACAGATTTAGCAAAGCGTCAGTTTAAATGGAAGTCTCCCATTTTTAAGCCTCGTAAATATTAGCAAAATTCAAAGTACTAAAGTCCGAAATGTCAATCGTCATTCGCCATTTTTAACTGCACTTTGGCCCAGTCCCCTCCGAGACAAAGCAAGAGCACAGGAATCCCAAGCTCTATAATTGAAGTATTTGAGGCAATCTGTCAGGAGAAGGACATTTTCCCTCCCATATAGACGATACCAAGGAGAAATCATTTATTCTATAACCTACTGGAAATTCTCTAAACGCTCTTTCATCTTCTTTAAGGTCTGGCCCCGGTTGTTCAAACATTGGATAGCGCTATCCAGTGGATAAATATCTATTCAGTGGATAGTGCAATCGGTTTTCCTAATACTTATCCGTTGGATAGTGATTTATCCGATGGATAGCGCTATCCAACGTTTGAACAACCGGGGCCTGAAAGACAAAGTAACCAACGCACCTTCCATTTTACTCGGATAGTTTCTTTATTTAGCCCCAGCCCTGGACCCTGGTCATGTCTTCCAACAACGTATCAACCAACCGCACTTCGGCTTCCCCAGATTTAGATAAAACTAGTCTTCTCTAAAAGGGAGAAAAGGGGTACACAGCCTCGTCCCCAGGGTCTCGTTTGTATAGCGGGGTAGAAGGGTGCCTTAAAAAGTATCACGTGACCATACTTTTCCCGCCTTTTTTCATGTTTGCCACCGTTTTTTCGCCGTCTGCAATTTGGCGAGGCGAAGACTGTTTTCACCTTCGAAGATATAAAAGTAAGTTTTTAAAGTTTTTTTTCGATATCTTTTAACACTTTTTTAATAACCCCAAGTCTTTTAAATTCATGATTTACGTTTGAAAGGTAAAATGTAAATGCATTTGGAAATGAAGGGCCAGAAAGAGAGACAAAGAGCCGAAGCTATCGAAACTGACTCTACAGTCGTTACGCTCAAATCCTAAAGGTATATTCCATTTACGCAAAATATTTCAAGTCAAGAGGCCTTTAAACCCACCAAAGGACATTTTACTGGTAACATTTGCCGCAGAGAAAATCTTAGAACGTCATTCTTTATCGTTTTACTCTTTCTTGTAAGGCCATCCCCATAAAATGTTTCGTTTCCCATCGCCCGAACAACCCATTTTTCTCGGAAAAGTAAAAAAAAAAAGAAAAAAAATTCCAGAATCGCTTGTAAAGAAGCAAAGACTTTAATTTACAAGCACACGATCTGATCTGATTAACACCAATTGTCTTAAATTATCATCGATACTTCGTTTTTGTAGCCTTTTTAGACATTTGACAGTCCTGTTAATATATATCTTTTACCATCTGATTATATCTTGCAGACTAAACGTGAGATTTAATATGCAATCATGTGTTCATTCTTCTTCCTTTTTTGCCCGATCGACCGACCCACCTTCACGAGAGGAAGGACGATGGGAAACGAAACATTTTATAGGGATGGCTTAAAGGTAAACGTGTGAATGGAGTTTGTGCAACAAAGAGTTTTAGAGCAGGTTCTGTCGTGCTTGTTGGCGGAGATGTCTTGAAAACAAAGACCCCTAAGAACCCTAAGACCCCCCAAGACCCCAACAAATGACTCTGAACTTTATTGATTATGGTAAGGAAACTGAGAGAATCAGGTTCCATTTAATTAGGTCATTACACAGGGCAAAATGAACTGAAGCTCGATTCACTCAGTTTCCTAACCCTAATCAATAGAGTTCAGAGTCATTAGGACGGGGTCTTAGGGGTCTTGACTTTGTTTTCAAGACACCCTGTTGGTGGCATGAACATGGTCCCAAATCTTTCTTTTCTTTCGTACCTGTAATGCTCTAAATTGAATTCTTGATTTAAACTATTCTTGCTTGAAACGCAACAACTGTTTTTGCCGTTTTTGCATGTTCAAGATGTTACAGGCAGTGTAAAGAGCATATTTTAAAAGCTATAAACCAGTAACCATTTGCTCGAAGCCCTCCTAATAAATATAGCATAACCATGTTTTCTTGACCACAGCTTTTTATTTGGGGTTAACGGTTGTTTACCATTTTCCGACTGGAAAAACAGGGCTACCTCCTCAGACATTCCGTTGCTTTCAGCGACCCGAAAAGTTGTGTTCGATTTACTTTCTGACTGGATTTTTTCCGGAAAGTTTTTGTTAATAGTAAACAACCAACATAACAGAGGATGAGGGACTACACGTCCTACGCTTATACAATCCTGCACAAGGTCTTATAACTACAAAGAGGCGCCGTTGAGAGAAGGCGTCGGACTATTTGCAACATGTTAGTATTGGAAAGGAAACAGTCAGCAGTATGCAATGCAAATTTCAGTCTGTTTCTCGACACACTGCGTTCAGTTTTTCGGCAATGAGACCACTGTATTACAGAAACCCTATGTGAGGAACTAGTATAATTGTAAACTTCTCTTGGCTATTGTTTGCAACCCTCATAATTGGTCGAAAACTTTCAACTTAAAAGAACAACCTTTAAAAATGGAGTTTAACTTTAACTGCCTTTTTATAGTTTATACATTCTCGGTGTGAAAATGAAAACATTCTTATGTACTGCGGAAAGCGCATTGCTCCATAACAAAAGAAATTGCTTCCCGTCTTACCCGGATCATTACTTAATAGCCCGGGGGGGAGGGACTCCTTATATGAGAGAGTCTCGCTTAGGCTTGTAAATTTCGGATTTTGGTCTCACTTAGGGTGTTCTGGGAAAAACGCCATCATATTTAGCCGTGAAGGTCTCGTTTAGGGTTGCACGCCAAAACAAATAAAAAAATATATATTGTCTGTGTTTTAACATGGTCTCTTTTAGGGGTCAAAAAAAGCTTGGGCCACGCCCAGATCGGTCTCCTTAGGGGTTTAATTCAAAATTTCCGACGAGCATCCCCACCCCTTTCATATGCGGAGTCCCCCCCCCCGGGCTTAACAAATAGATCCATAACATAGCAGCCCTCTCGCACCCCGATCCGCCATCTTCCCTTCAAGCCAGGCCCCCTGCCCGGCCCGCTCTTTAAAGACTGATGCGTGGTCCTGAAGGCTCCATCAAGAAGGAAAATATCCTCATTTGAGGGTCCCCAAGATGTTTCTCGGGATTCGGGATTAGCCCCATTTGAAGGCCGGAATTCTCGGAATTTCAAAGAAAATAGGCGGCAAAATTCGGGATTCGGAAAGTATACACGAGACGCGGGATGCCGCAAATATCCTTCGGGATTACGGGATTGGGGGAGAATTTGGGTAGGAAAGTCGCGGTTAAAGCCTATTGGAGACCCGATCACTTTTGGCTTTAGTTACGTGTTTCTAGAAGAGACCATTTCGCGTAGAATATGTTTTTAAACGGCCATCTTTCGATGAATGATCCCTGAAGGTTATCCGGGGCGTTCCTCTGTACACGTTTTGGCGGATGGTACCTAAGCCATGTCGAACTCAGACACCGCAATCTCAACTCTAGACTAGACAGCTTTCTACCATTCCCATTTTAGGTGGGGATGCAAATCAACATTGGACATGGAAAGGGGTACAAGCAAAGAGGAAGGAGTTATGCTATAGGGTAAGGAAATTAGCTCGAAATTCCAAAGTAGTTCTCTTACTCGATTTTGCTCTTGTAGTCAAATCTCCGCTAAGGTCAGTCTTAACGGTCATTTCGCCCCGGTTACTCGCCTCCTATTTTCGAATCATTTTATAGCGCGCTCCAAATATAATATCCCTCTTTCCATAAACCATAAACCAGAACAAGCGCCCTTCAAATGTAATATTCGCAAAAAATTTTCCTCGTTCTAAAATAGTGGGCTAACTGGGGTGAAATAAACGTAAAGCGTGTTAAATACACTCGAATCTTGGGCATGGACCTTAGAGCCGACCTTTGTAGAAGAAGATGATCAGCTTTAGGAGTAAGTCTCCTAGATTTAACCCTCGCCCCGCGGCTTTCACAACAGCGGAAGTGTTTAAACTGATCTATTAGCTTAACTCTGCTAACTCCATCATTTATTATAGATTAACGCAATTTCTTCGATAAAGCTACAGATGTTAGCACTAAGGAGAAGAGGTCGTAATCTAAGAACGCCAAAAACTAGTGATACCATAAATATTCGTTGTATGGAATATGTCACTGAGGATAATCTTTTGGAATAATAATAATATTAAAATAGCCCTTTCTTAAAAACATCCGTGACTGTTTGAGTTACGGAAGGCTTATTTGTGTTTGGTACCTTTATCAGTCAGAATAATACGTTAACGTTTAAATGTGTCTTCTGATATTCCAACAGGCAGAATATTTATAGTAGTACTGATTTCATTTTCAGCTTAGAATCGAGACGCCAGGTTTCAGAGGTTTCAGCGAGTAGGAGACTGGGAAAAATCGACGCACGTTCTGGAATGTGATAAGAGGTTTAAAGAGTCGAGTCGAGTGTCTTTAACTTGTTTTTGAGGGAATACGCTGAGTGCTGGACCACAGAGGTTATTCCTTTTCAAGTTGGATCCTTCAAACGGCGCACTGAGTAGCTATCGGTTAGTGTTTTAAGCATCTTATTGCCTTTCTCATTTTAAGGTTATGTTCACACCGTACCGGATATAGCTTTTCGTGCGGACACGAAATGCCATCGGTGTAGTATGATTTACTAGCATGAACGCCTAACCGATATGTTACTCTCCATGGCCACTTTAGTGACCGGCGCGGCACAGCTTCGTGCCGATAAATCACCGTTTTTCTGCGTGAAAAGATGCCCTATCCAGTACGATTTTCGTACCGGCGCTAAAGCCCGGGGGGGGTACTTTAGGAATTTCTGGGTTGGGATGTGCCGCTGGGACCCTGGAACCCTTAACCTATACCAGAGCTAGTTCAGCTGAATTTTGCTACCCTATACTAGAGTAAACTCCCCAATTCCCCCCTATCCTAGAGTAGCTGTTTCCCTAGTCTAGATAAAATCTTCAACCAACTGATCAGTTTCCTGAAAAATGATACCCTATTCTAGACCCAAACGCTCTGATTTATACACCCTATCCTAGAGTAAACTGCTTGAAAGCCATACCCTGGCCTATATAGCCCATATATGGCCCCCCCCCCGCGCAGAAAGCTATCATGTATAGTGTGAACAAAGCCTAAG